ATATTATAGATAAATTTTAAAGAGCACTTGAGTTGGAATATCCTTGAAAGCCTTAAACTGGATTTAGAAACAGATCTCAGAAAAGGGTAAGTATCTTCTAGACATAAGCACAAGGCATTACCAAGGTGCAGTACATTGTACAAAAATAGCCCATACAGGGGATGTTGCTGTATTAGGAAAGCATCCTCAGGAAGTATAATGCACTGCTTCAAATGAGTCATTTCTGAGAAGGATCTTTAGGGCAACACATTAAATAGAAACATTTTGCTGAAAGAAAGGACATCTCCTTGTTTGTACATCAAAGCAAGGACTGTGCAGCAACTGACCCAACTCATGATGGAGAGATGGCTTTGTCTAAAACTCACCAGTTTCAGACCTTCCAGATATTTTTATGCCAGGTTATTATGAATTTTGATCTTCACATAGCTTTTCTATTTTTCTACTTGTTGAATCATCAAGGAAAAAAGCTTTCCACCAGAAAAACAAAGAAACAAACAAGCCAAGGCCACTGGACCAAGATAAGGCTGCCAAGAAGAATAACCATTGGAGAGACGACCAGAGACTCTGTTCCACTGTCCAGTGGCCTGAGCTTTTCAGTTGAGCAGCCAGCAATAAGAAAAGCAAGCCAAGTTGTAAAACAAGTAGAGGTGTATGACTTGGATAGGCTTCTTCCTCCCCATAACTTGTCTTTTTCTGCTATTTGTCCATTTTTGTTAATTTTCTTGAATACAGGAACAGAGGGTATGTCTTTCTAGGAATGCCTCTGTTTCCTAAAAGCAGCATAAAAAGAATACAGCACAAAAGTGGAAGAGATCATATAGACTGTAGTGGCACAGAACCTATACAATAATCAATCTGCAAACTTCATCAAGACAGAGCGTATTCCCCTTCCCTGACCTCTCCTCTAGAGGCTTCATATGAAGACAATTCTTTGTTTCTGACCTCCAAAACCATTAAACTCCTGAGTAAGTAATTTCTATCTCTGTATTTCACTTTCCTTGTCACAAAAAAAAAAGATGATCCACATTCTTAAAAAGAATTTGGGACAGTGTCTGTGAAAAACAAAGCAGGATTCTCACTGAAATGGTATGCTAACTTGGACAGATACTGCACACAGTCCTGCCATATAACCTGGCCCAAAATCAGCAATGCTCAAGCTTAAATTAATTCAGTCTACAGATCTGTTTATATGGGCATCATTTAGAAGAGGGGCAACCTCTAGTTTTATAGTCTGTGCAAATATTGAAGAGAATGTAACTTCCTGAAACAAAAGTTATCCATGTATTATCCTGTTCAGTCTCAATACAAAAGTACAACAAATGATCTGATAAAAATCCAATTAGTTTCAAACCCTAAAGGTTAACTTTTAATTAAAAATTCCTAATAGTGATAGAGATCAGACAGACAACCATCAGAAAATGGGAAAGAGGATTTCCCATGGAAAATATGCCTGTGGAATTAAGGGTTGATATGGTTCCAAAGTGCAGGACAGTCTCAAGAACATGAAAAGACATCTCTGATGCAAGAGTTCAGTAATTTGTTAACTAAAATTGTAGCTGCAAATATAAACTCATTTGCATAACCAATAAATACAGGAAGTGAATCTGACACCTCAGAAACAGACCAAGGCTGAGACACATCCCTGCTCTCCAACAGATAGCTCTCTTTAGACAGGTAGTTATTTCTACCGACAGAAGCTTAGCCTCAGCTACTCAGAAGTGCT